TTTTTGGGAAGCACATGTTTGGAAAACTTGTCGGGCTTAATAGTGGCGTAGTATTGGTGGGTTTGAGGACAGACTAAGCGACTACTAAGCAAAAAGGAAAGCTTCTTTGCTGGCAGTTCTTTTAGCTTGGGGAGGTGTTTGGGGAGGCCCAACATATGAGTGGGGGTTAAAGCAAGGGGCCACCTTTGATTGCAAGGTTTGCAACTCGTGCACTGACAGTAGAAAAACTTGCTGGTCACACAAACCCCCGTGCGGCTGGGGATTCGGAAGTGCGCTCCCTTTTTGCGCTAAAAGCATGATCCTGGCTCGGGCGCCTAGATGTCGCGGCGAGGTGGGATGCAAAGGCCTGATGCGTGTGCAGGGCCAAAATTCATAACCCCAGAGTTGTGAAAGCCCGTCAGAAGTGCCCGATGTGTGGAGTCACTCCCGGATCTGGATGATTGGTCTGAGAAGCCACTCTCGGAGCTGATCCCGAATTTTTGTTCTGCTTGGTGAGCCCGTCGGCCATCATGATGTGCGTGGGTATCCAACGCATCCTCCTCTGGTTCGCATACTCCTGGATGGACTTGACGTTCACCAGGCTGCGCTTGTCCTGCAAGGACGGGTTGGCTGACACGACCGTGTCATAGAGCGATTCGCAATCCACCGCCAACAAGAAGGTGAGGTCGCCAACCTGATGTGTGGGAATATGAAAGATAATCTCCCCCAGGAAGTGGTTCGCGAAGCTGCCGCGGTCGGTGGCGACGTCGGCTGCGATAGCCTCGGCTGCCAATGTAGACAGACTCTTGCAGATCGGCATGATTCCAGTCGATGAGTGCGCCGGGCTGCGGTGCTTCCACCTGCAAGTTGATCAATCAGCAGGAGGCGACACCCGTGCTGCGAGGTTGTCTCTGGGGCATTTGCCCTGGTGATGCCGTCCTTCAGGTAGGTCTTGAGGAAGTCGGCCATGTTGTAGAGGTCTTGCAGGTCCCCGTAGGTCGTCTGTCGTCCCTTTGCCGCAAGGCTGGTGGTGGCTGCGACAGCCATTGTAGGCACCCGATGATGCTGCGGAACTCCGGCGAGTTGGATTGTTTGAGGACGTCGGTGGTTTTGACTCCCTTCAGGATGGTTCCAGAGGCCACGCCGTCCAAAAACTTCTGCTGGCTGAGATGGACCACCAAGATGTTGAAGTCGAGCTCTTCGCTGTATGTGACGAGGAAATCGTCCACGTAGACCAATAGAACGGCTGAGATTGAGCCTGGGAAGCGCTTGCTGTTGAAGCCGGCCTTCTTCAGTCTAGAGGTCACCTCTCTGTTCCACACCATTCAGATCGTAGAGCTTGTGGGGAAAGGCACCAGCTGCCTGAATCAAAGGATCGCAAGGTAGCCTGAGATACAATTAAGGGCCATTGCCTCTTGTGCCTCCAAACCAAACAGTCCATCGCGCCTTGTTGTTGAAGGCTTTCCCATTGGCACCACTAGCGTAGAGGGCCAACATGATCATCTCCTACGTCCGCGATGGGGACTGCAGGTCGGGATCCAGCCCTGTGCCACTATCCGGCATTTGGCCTGCAGTGAGCCCCTGTCCATTCGTCTTGTCGCGGTCCTCTTGAAGGAGTGATCCTCCGCCTCAGAGCAGGCCTTTACCGCTCGATCTGAGTGGATGCCGTTCAGCGCGAGCAACTTGAGGAGCCCCACGTTGTTGATGCGCGCCAAGTTGCGGTGCATCCTGCAAACCGGATGGTCCAATCTATCTGAGTGCCAGGGAAATCGATTTCGTCGTGGAACTTCGTTCTGCTCTCTGTGTGGAGGTGGCTGCGCTGGTTGTTTATGAGGATCGGGTGGTTCCGGAGGGTCGTCATCGTCGTCTCCCTCAGGATCTCCGAAGAAGAAGATTGCCACGTCCACTTGGCGTGGAAAGCGCCCACGAGAGAAACGCAGGTCAGAAATGTCCTCGGTCTGGAAGTGCAGGGTGTCGGAGCCAACGTGCTTGACGGTGAGTGTGAGGTGTGTGAGGAGGTTGACGGACAACGGGGTTCTTGGCCAGTTGTAGTTGCGTGATGGTCAGGGAATGTTGGCAGTGATGGTGTGGTATAAGGGGTCGTTCTCGTCCATCAAGATGTTGCGAGATGAGGTTTGGCCTAACAGATACTCCGCCTCGCCGATGATCTCTCCCCAGGTGTCCTGATTCTCGTCCGGCTTGAGGTAGTAGACCGAGTCAGGCGCTGGTTGTGCATGAAACCTCCTTGCCGGTGAGCTAGATCTGGCTAGGTCTTGGATGCCGGAAAGAATGCATCTGACCATCTCCTCTGCGTAGGCCTGGGATTGCGTCACATCTGTACAGTCGGGTGGGCCAGGCGCCTCAACTTTTTTGAAATGTGTTTCACTCCTATGAGGCAAAGTCGATGCGACCGGGTCACATCAGATTAACATCACCTCCACGTTTAGGTTGCGTTTCATGAATTGAAGCATGCTGCAAGACTGATGCCAATACTCACAAACTACACTGGCTTGCTTGCTTCGAAAGGAGCTTTGGGCCACTTAGTTCGCACGCTAGTGTCACGAACTTTAGTCACTGCAGCTTCTTGGAACATGTCTTGCGCCTATGGTTTGCAAAGGCAGCAGAAAGGCAGGGGCAAGCCCGGGGGCAAGGGAGCAAGCCAGGAGCAAGGCAGGAGCAAGGCCCATCATACTCCAACACGACTTTCCGCACGAAAATCCAACAATGCTGGGCAAAATGCTGCGAAACCGAAACACACTTGGTTTTGGGGAGGTCAGAAACGAGGCCCCAAACGCGGCCCGAACGAGGCCCAAACCAGCCAAGAGCCTCAGTGGCCCAACCGATAGGTCCCTAGGCGCATTAACTCAACTGGGAATCTAAACAATGCACACGCACGCGAAAAAATGAAACCGCATCTGTCAAGCTGCTCTGAAAAAACTGTTCGGAGAATTAGTGCGTTCTGCTTAGTTTTGATTGTAGGCACGGTTGCGGCTGGCTGGTTGTTGTTTTGGTTGTTGCTGCTGCTGTTGCTCCAGGAAAAATTATGCGAAACGCAACCTAAATTCAAGAATCGATGCGACCCTGCTACAATGCTTTCCCCAACGGCAGGGAGACAATCAAGCCAAATCGATGCGACTAGCCTACTTGATCTGCTGTCAGTCTGCGGGGGCTGCCAGCTGTAGCTGTGTTGACGGCTCTGTAGGCGCCGCTGTTGGTGTCCACAACGAAGGTCGTGTCCGTCTCCTGCATCTCCGGAAGTTGCCACTAGTCTGGCGGTTCTCCAGGAGGTAGAACCTGCCAGCTTGATGCTGCTTCTTGCGCTGTCTTTCGCTCATGCTTGTAGTTCATGAGGTCGTCGGACGTAGTTGACGTTGTCCTGTAGGAGCGTCCGAGGTCGGCAATGAATGCCCTGGATGAGGACCAATGGCTGAAGCTGGTCGAGCATCTCATCGCAGGTGTGTCGGGCTTCTGGCGTGGACAGGTCAATGCCGCTGCGGAAGTCAGGGGCATGGTCGCCGACAGCTCTCCTGCTGATCCCTCCATCATTTCATGAGGTAACACGAC